TCATGCTCCATTTATAATTGTCATATATTTTTTTTTTGATATTATACAAAATTAAATATAAAGTTGTATTTATATAAAATTGTAAAAACAGAAAAAGAATCAGATCTGAAGGAATTAATGTTTATATGAAGCTAATATTATATTTTTAAAATTTTTAATTTTTTTTTTTTTAATTTTTAAACTTTATAATACATTATTCGAAATATAAGTGCTATTAATAATACGAAAAAATTAAGGAGTGGTCAAAAATATTATAACGTAAAGATCACATAGAGATATACTGACAAGATTCTAATATTCAATTCTTATCGCGTCATATGAAACCTTATGCGCGAAATCCAGAACGAGAAATCACCCGACCGACAGATGGACGATCGGTGTCGAATTTGATGAATCTAGTTTGTTAAACCGCAAGCCGGATTCGTCGATTCGCCGAAGCGGGGGTGGCTCGCGTGGAGTGTGATGAGGGTAAGAAAAATGACCGGTCGAGAAAAAGAGATCCCTTACCGGCGGAATTCGAATGTCAATCCATATCCCCTTTTTCCTCGGATCCCTTTATCCTCGGGGACTTGGTCATAGGCGGGAGAATGAGTGTAAGAAACGGAAAAGAAAAGTGGCGTCTGATCTCGGGGAGGATGTAACGCGCGCAAGGAGTAGCGAGATCGTGGAAGGATGAAGAGCGAATATATGTATATATCGGAAAAGCAGGCAGATGTCATCGATACTGACTTTAAGTTCCTTTATTAAATTTGATTCGATATTATTTATTATTTATTGTTAAAATATATGAAATAAAAAATTCAGAATATATTAATAAAATAATAATTTCACACATACACACATATATAAAATAATTAATTTGAATAAGATTAATAAGATTAATATTAGTTATTTATTAAGATTTATATTAATATTTAATAATATTAATTATTTATTAATTATTGGAAGCTTAATTCGCCAAACTTTATTCAACTTTATTTAAATTTTTTTTCTCATGTTAAAATCAATTAAAATCTTTAATCAACAATACATTACTATCGCCGAGATAAATATTTTGCAAATCTTATTTTAAGCTGAAGCGATCTTGAATCAGATCTAAATGGAGATTCTCAAAGTCCGCCAAGCGCGTCTAATTCGCTCTGATGTCGAAACACAATGTCGGGTAGAGTAATTGATATCGTTGGATTGTGTGGGACGAGTTCGCTTTCGATCTTCGGAAGATACGAAGGAAACCGCGCACAGCTTCGATGCATTCGCGTTAATCTCGATAACCCGATCTGTCGGATGTCTTTCTTTTTTGCTTGTTGTCTATCGGGGATTGTTCGAGACTCAATTTCCGCCGAAATAGCGAGTACGCTTCGCCTCGCCTCGATTCGATCCGTCAATATATCTGTGTATTTCTTTCTTTTTCGCCACAATAAATTTATTGCGCACAGATCCTTCAATTAATCTTTATGTGGGGTGTGTAGAAAATAGAACAATCTTGTATTAATATGTCGGAGATCTATATTTTATATAAAAACCGAATAAAAATAATGAGATTTTTCATAGAAATCCTATTAGTGATCTTAATCTAAATCTCGCATAATTAAAGGTATTGGCTTAAACATTCTAAATGTATAATTTGTAATTGTTATATTTTATGATACATTTTTCTTGGTTATTTATTATTTTTATTTCTTATTTTTTAACGATATACATCGAAAATATAATTTCGAGAAGGTGAGGGCTCTTCTATCGCCGATCCACGAGCACTTTTTACCCCTGCCTGTCTCATAGGCGATGCAGACCGCTCGCGAAATTCTTTGAAAAACTACTTTGTAAAATTGGGGACGCGCAGTACGAGAAGGGAGGCGGCCGAATGAATAATAAATACGGTTATCGTTTAGTTGATATTTTGAAGAGGGAGCGCGGACGCGAAACTTCCCCCTCCTCGTCGAAGGATCGGAGCGAGAAAGAGATCAAAGCCGATCACGGAGATGAAGGCCAGGGGTGAGATTCTCTCTCGCTCCGTTTCTATTCTCCAATTGCTCGAGATAGCCCAACCACGAATCACATCGCATCGATAGCACAACAGAACGCGATCAATCAATTGTCGATAAATAGACATTGAATTTATTCCGAGCGCTAAAGCTTCGATAAACCATATAATCGTATTGAAAGCGAAGAAAATATTGCGGAAAAATAATATAGGATGAATCGCGGAAAAAAATGATAGAACGAAGAACAATTAAAGAATTTCGACGATATGTAAAATGCCTCATGCATCATTAAAAATGCCTGAAATTAATCGAATAAATTGAAAAAGATACATAAAAAACTGCTAAACATCTCCTCATTGGTTTTACTTTAATATAAAATCGAAACGATTGTATATTTTATCTTCATCAGCTGTATATTTATTCAACTTTTATTATTATTAAATCTTTGATAATTAAAAATTGCGATCAACAAAAAATCAAACAGAAAAGTATTTCGGTCTCGGATATCGAAAAAAGCTTCTGAAAAGTACACAGTATTTTAAGTATTTTTTCAAAAAAAACTCCAAGGGATTTCCCTATAAAGTTTGATTGATTCACGGGCCTCGGGGCCTCACGACGAGCACCAGGCCTTCGATAACTGTGTGGATAGTTTCGTTCTCTCGGTGTAGTGTGACGATGGCTGGGCGATGGAGCGGCTAATAACGATAACGATGCCAGAAACGATAATAGAGTTGGGGGTTTCCGCGGTTTCCACGGTTCTCCCAGGACGCTGATTGCTGAAACGGCGGTCGGTTTCGCCGTCGGGGTGCTCAGCGCGACGGCGATGCCGTTTTACCCCGACAATCGTTGCTGCGCGTCGAGACGCGCAACCCCCATGCATTAATTTAAATGCATACTATATGTACTTTATTATTATTACATCAATTTTGTCTCTCAATTTTTATTTTATGCAGAATTATTTATATAAAAATAATACATCTCTTTCTTTCTCCTTTCTTTTCTATAACTCTTAACTTAAAGCGATCCAGATTCATGAAGAGAGAACCCGAATAATAATTTTTTTTTTCAATAGTACAAATTAAAAAATTTTTGGTAATCGTTTTAAATTTACATTCGCAAATAATTATCAATAATTACAAGTAACGAAAATATTGCGAGAATGAATAAAAATAATCATGAAAAATGTAAATGTTTTACTGAGCGCTGAAATGTACAACCTCTATGCATTAATTTATATTATGTACTTTATTCTTATTAGATTTTAAATCAATTTTTACTTTATTTTTATTTTATTATAAAATACTTATACAGAAATATTATAATAATAAGACCTTCTCTTTCTTTTTTTTTCTTTTCCTAACTAAAGATGATTTAAGGAGGAGATTTGAAGCGAATTTGGATAATTCTTTTAAAAAAAAATAATGTTATAAATTTTAAAATTTTTGGTAAGCGTTTTAAATTTATATTCGAAAAAAATTATTATTACAAATAATGGAAATATTGCGAAAAAATAGGAAAACGATTAAAAATAATCACCGAAAATGTAAATACTTTATTACGCGCTGAAACATCACTCATACATTATTTTAAATACACAAACCCGGACAAATCCTTTTTTTTTAAATGTCACAAATTGAAAAATCTTTGGCAATCGTTTAAATTTACATTTGAAAAGAATTATTATTGTAGTTAAAATATTGTCAGAAAAATAGAGGAGTGATTAAAAATAATAAAAATAATCACCAAAAATGTAAATACTTTACTACATCGAAACACACCCCCATGCATTAATTTAAATACATGAACCCGAATAAATCTCTTTTTTTAAATGTCACAAATTAAAAAATTTTTGATAATCGCTTAAATTTACATTTGAAAAAGATTATTATAACGAAAATATTGCGAGAAAAATAGTGGAATCATTAAAAATAATCAACAAAAACGTTTTATTCATATTCAAGGAAGATAGAGACGCGTCGCATCGTCTAGGACGTCGAGAAGCGACGTTCGAAACGACGCTTCCGTCGCCGTCGCCGTCACCTCGACCGACGTGGTATGCGTGTGTTGGCGCAGATGGAAGCGTAACGAGTACACAATGCGATGCAAATTGGTTAGACTCGGTATGCCGCGCCGGGCCAGTCAATCGCCCGGACGATTGCCTCCAGTCGCGGGCGGCAGTACCGCGCGATGGTATTACTAACATCACTATCCTATTATGACGTTACGACTCCCCGAGCAGCAGCAGCAGCAGCAGCAGCCTATTACGTACGATGCCGGCTCCCTCCAGGCGTTCGATTCGCGATAACTCGCTAACTATAGCGGTCATCGAGACTCGGAGAGAGAGACAATATCGTTGGAATGCCCGCCCACGGCTGACTTTCCGATTGGCGAATTGCGGGATGGCCGATATGATTGCATTTATACATTTAACATTTCTTTAAATATCAATATTTAAATTGTATAATTGTAGAGTTATATAGTGCTTGGAGAGAAATACAAGGAAGATGCTTGATATTCTAGGTGCCGGCATTTATCTTCGAAATTTTTTGAATCAAAGTTTCTATAAAAGTTTGGATTCTGTTAGGTACCAAGATGATCAAATTCGTTCGAGGAATGACAAATCTTTCTTATGTTTTAGCGCTCTATAAGTAATACATCTATAAGATGTGTAATATAATGCGATATATTATATAATTTGAAAATAAATTTATTGATAACCAACTCTATCGTATTTCTTTTCAAGAGAAGTATAAAATAATTCTCTGTTCACGTATTCCATTATTACATACTTGAGGTATTTTCAGGATAATATATATATATATATATATATATATATATATATATATATATATATGTATAATATATATAATACACACTTTTATCTGAATAACTTTTCTTTGGAAGAATACACACTAAGAAAATATTACGAAAATACACTTAACAATTAGAAATCTTGTTAAAAAATAAAATGCATACATGTATAGTATATTAGAAAAAAATATAATGCATATATGTGTGTATTATATAAAATGATATTTATAAGTTTAGTATGTTTTTTTTCTAAATTCACTCGGCGAAATAATATCTCTTTTTAGCTGGTGGCCTATCATGTTCATTGAAATCATCCCAATTGTACCTCTTTTTATTTGTAGATAAACCACTGGTTGATGCTCGATTAGGATGCCTTTCTTCTTCGTCGGATTCGTCTTCGCTTTTAATTTGCACCAGAGAACTCGCAGGTTCGTTGAAGTCGGAGATTTTCACCGCAGTCATCCCACTGTAAGGAAGAATTAGAATTCATTATTTTTTATTAAAAACAATCTATCTTACGATAAAACATTTTTCTATATAACATACTTTTGTTTGCGATAAAGCTCGTGGAATTGCTTATGATTATTCAAATCAGCTAGCTTCTGTAGGAACTTTTCATCGTGACTGATAATAATCAGCTGGAAATTTTTTTGATATCTCGATCGTAGTTCGACAACTCTGCAATATATATATTTTTCGCGTTACATTATGTTACATGTACTTTATAATTTTATTTACATTTAGTGCGTAATATATTAAACTTACAATAACTTAAATTACAATTACTTAAAATATTACACTTTGCATAAAAATAAAAAAAAACGTACTTAGTTAGCGTATCTGCTAGACTGTTAGCATTTTCTTCGTCCAGATTTGTCGTTGGTTCGTCTAATGCAAGAATACCGCAATCCTTGCAAAATGTTTCTGCCAAAGCGAGTCTTATAATAATCGATGCCAATACCTGTAAAAAAATTGTCTCGATTATATATATATATATCGCGTTTCCCGGTTACACGCTAATTATTCGTTAAATTAATACTAATTACTTTCTGTCCAGCGCTGCAACGTCCTTTCATATCCATCTTACAACCATGTTTAGTTTGAATCAATTTGTAAGTGTAGCTTCTTCTATTGCTACCCACATCTTTCGTAGGTTCTGTACAAATCTCTATGCTACTAGTATCTGTACCCTTGTAAACATGTTTCCATAGCTTCTTCATTATTCTGTTGACTGTCGACATGCGCTCCTCGTGATACTCGATCATGGCGGTATCCAATATTTTACTGTAAGCTTTCAAATTGGCTATGGTGTCTTCCTGAACCTAATAAACAAAGTATATAAAAACTAAATAATATATTCTATTATAAATATGTATTAATTTGATGATATAATAATACTTTACTGTTAATTCAATACACTTATTAGTATAATTTCGACGAGCTAATCGATATTCCTCTTTTCGTAATTCCTGCATGTACTGTTTGATTACTCTTTCCAACTCTTCCTGATTTCCCAATGCTACGTTTTTCTAAATGAAATAAATTATTAATATATATATGCAAATCATGGATAAATTACAATATATAACATATTACAATATAATTATACTTACTTGACGAAGTAATGCCTGTTTTTCACTTTCCAGCTGCTCCCACTTTTTCGTCAGCTCACTGTAATTCATGTTTTTCAATTTTTCATTCAATTTTTTGTATTGTTCCTTCAAAGCTTCTATCGTATCTTTAGTTTTACGTAACGTTATATTGTCATGTAACTCTCTCTTCCCAATTTCTTGAGAGGCAACGTCTTCTTTCAATTTATTTATCGCTTGTTCGACATTCTTTTTCTTGTTTATAAGTTCCATTAACGATTTTTGATAAGTTTCTATCTCAAGCTCATAGCTTGCAAGTTTTTTAGGTACATTGCTGCTAATAAATGAGTCGACTTCGTCTATTATCTTGTGCAAGTCGGTTAAGCGTCTAGTATTTTCCATCATCAATTTTCTATCAGCATCTTGCTTTTGCCGATTTTCTAACTGCAAAAGAAAAATATCTTAGAACTTACTTTTGTTTTCACTCTATATAGCTCTTTGTATATCTCCCCATTCATTATTTTGTTATAAATTACATTTGGAAATATTAAATATAATTTAAAAAGTAAACCTTGATTTTTTCCAATTGCTGCTTTCCAGAATCCAATTGATTTTCAGCATTTGCCAAGTTTTCTTGCAGTTTCTCCACTGTCTCCCCTATAGTAACTTCTTTTACATACAAATCCTCCTGTTTATCCTTCAAATGTTTTAATTTCTGCATATCTGAATGTATTTTTAATTGTTGTTCGTGTAGTTCATTATATGTTTCTCTAGCTTCATGTAACCTCTCATTATGCTTGTTCAATTTGAGTTGTAATGCTTCAATATGATTACGAGTTTCTTTAAAAGATGTTTTCAAGGATTCTCGCTGTACTTGCAGCTCTTCTAGAGTCTTTTCCGTTTTAACTCCTACAAAAATATATATAATAATACATCATATATTAAAAAACGAAAAGGAAAACTTTAATTAAAAAATTGTAATTATCAATAACTTTACCAGCATTGGCCATTTGAGTTTGCAAGTTATTAACGGTTTTTTTTAATTGCTGTATTTCGTCTATGCATCGATCCCAAAATTTAATATCGCCAATCATATCTTTATATAATAATAACTTTTTTTCAGGTTCTGCCTTTGATACTTCTAGATCTTTAATAGCTATTTTAGACAATTTCACACTATTCTTGGTTTTCTCTAATCTCTCTCTAGTTAGAAAAATAAAATTATTAATATTAAATATATTTTAAGTTTAATACATTCATAATAGTATAGAGTAAAAATAAATTCTAATATCAATAGTAATATTAGCGTAATATATCATAAAGTTAGATTCACTCACTCTAATTTTTTCAGATCAGTCTCTTCACACTGAATGATTTTTTGAACAATAGGTTTCAATTGTAACATATTATCATATTTTTCTTGTTGTATCTTTAATTCCTCTTCGCACTTTTTTAAACGATTAGGTTGATTACGAATTATATCAGTTTCCATTTCTTTTATTAAATCTGTAACTTTATTTTGTTCTTGAAAATTTCTGTGGCATAAGGGACAGCAAGGATCTTTTACAGATAGCTTTTTAATATATTCTTTGTAGGCTGTGGCTTGATAAGCATAAATTCCTCGCTTATCCTGAAGATCTTTTACTATTTTTGATTGCATTAATAAAGTCTCATCAAACTCTTTGTAATCACACACTGTAGATATTCTTTCTTTGTCACCTAAAAAAAGAAAAAACACCTAAATGAAGAAAAAATATATAAAATAATATTACATATAAAAATTATATGTAAAAGTTATATATAAACATTATATATAAAATTCTAAAAAAAAAAACATTCTTACGATGCAGTTCTGTCTTCTTTTTTCCAATATCGGACTCTATGTATTGTAATGTTGTTTGAAAAGCGGTAGTTTTGCGTTCTTGTGCTTGAATCTCTTGTGTCAAAGAAGTTGTTTCTTTTTCCTGAAATTTATAATTAATAAGATTTTACAAGCATGTAGATACATAAATTAAAAATTAATCTTATACCAATTGCTGATGAACACGATCCAAAGTAATTTTCAATTTCGTCTGCTGTAATTCTTGAGTATTTAACAATGTTTTGATGCTATTTCCGTGTTTTCTCTTTAAATTCTCCAATTCTTCTTCTTTAGCTTGTAATGTCGACTTTTTTAAATCGAATTCTGTTTTTAATGAGCTTAATTTATGTAAAGAAGAAATTTCGTCATCAATCGCACTTAAATTTGCTTCAATTTTATCTCTAGATTTTATTTTATTTGCGATATCAGTTTTAACAGAATCAACATCTAATGCATTGCTAAGTTCATCAATTTTTTGTTTTGCTGCTTGAAGCTTTTGTTCAATGGATTTTAATTTATTTCCTGCAGCACCAATCTAGATTAAAAAAATTAAAATAATTATTTTATTATATAAACTGATTATAAAAATATATCCTTAATGAAAATGCACTAACCTGTGCTATCTGATTTCGTATAGTGGTAATTTCATCTCTTATTTCCGTTATTTCCTTCTCTTTGAGAGTCTTTTCTGACTCTATCTTCAAATAGTTGCTACACAGGATATCAACTTCTTTTTGCGACTGTTTTTCTTTTTTTTCCATGGCCATTCTATTTTCTTCTATTTCTTGTTCTAACGTTCGAATTTTTTGTTCCAATCTTTTTGTGAGAGCCTTCACCTCTGTGTATAGTATTTTTGCATAATTTTAGTAATATAAAATATATTCAACATTGAAAAACTATGTGTTAAACCAAGTCTTAAAGTCTTAAAGTTTTTTGTTTACCTATTTCAGTGACATCTTGTTCCACTGTATCAAAATTCCATGCTTGCAATGCTTCATTTAATAATTCATTACGACGAACTACTCTTTTTTCATGATCTTTTACTTGCTGTTTAAATGTACCTACAGTTTCCCTTCGTGTTGCTAAGATATTCGAGATCCTAGCTTCTTTCTCAGAAATACCTTTGATCTCGATTTCATTCTGAAATCAACAAATCATATAAAATATGTAATGTATAGAAATATGATAATATAATTATTATAAGCATATTTATACCTCTGCTATTTCATTGTTCTTTTCTTGCAATATAGTATCATGTGATTCTATGAGCGCGTTTAATTCTTCTGTTGTTCCATGAAAAATATTATTTATTGTTTCTTTCAATTTTTGATATCGTTCCTTATACACACCATATTCCATCTTTTTTTTCTCTGAAAATAATAATTTTATAAAAATATTTTCTTTTTTATTGATACTTCTATGAATTCTTATTAAATTTACCTTCTTCAGCTTGAATATTTTTGTATTCAGAATGAGACTGTTGCACCTCTTCGATCTTCTGTTTTAAAGGTACAAGCTGCTTATCAATATCATTTATTTTTTCTTTTGTGATATCCAATCTCTTCTTATGTTCTTCAAGTTTAGTCTCTTTATTTTCTACTTCAGATACAAGTACTTTGAAGGTCTGTTTCTCTGCATTCAGACTTTTAATATCCCCTTGTAAATCTTTATGAAGTTTTAAGATAGTTTCTAAAGCTTTATTAAATTTAGTACTATCAAATATTTCATCAAATCTTTCTTTTAAGGTTTTTCCTTGATCAAATGGCCAATTAAGCTCTTCTTGATGGCAAAATATAACATAATTTAGAATCGATTTTGAAACACCTAATGCTACACTGAGTTCTGCATCAACATCAGCACATCGATTAGTTATTGATGCTTTCTATATTAGAAAATAAAAATAATCAAAATAAATAATTGAATAAATTGAAGAATTAAGAGATAGAATCTACAGAAGAAAAAAGAAAATATTAGACACTCACTTCCTTTTTATCCTTGCTTACTCTAGTTACAGTACTGTCAAGAGTCTTAAATTTTTTTACTGCTTTCAATGACTCAATTGTTCTGGATACTGTATAAGTATTACCCATAGAATCAATTATCTCAGCTTTAACGACACCTCTTACCTATAACAATAAATACAATATATAAAGCAAAAGTTATAATTAATATTTATTTTTATCTTGTTAAAATTTTTAAAAAATTTAAGAAGAAAGTAAAGAAGAAACTTTTGACGATTATAAAATTAAAAAGGTGGAATAAATATTAAAAAAGTGGAACAAAATAACAGGCCAAGGAATTGCAAATAACATATATATATATACTGTAAAATAAGCTCTTTTATAAATATATCTAGCCTATAATTTAGCTCCATAAAAACTTATTTTGTAAAAATTCATTTTTATATATAATAATATATATATGTATATATATAACACTTTTGGAAATTATAAAATCATAAATATTGATAAAATAAAATAATAAAAGAAAAGGATAAGGATCAGGCAATTACAGGTAACATATATATATACATACGTTTAAAAAATGTTTGCAAGATTAGTCTTTTTATATATCCTATAATTTGGCTTTTTAAGGAATTGATTTTGCAAATTTTAATTATATTATAGAAATCTATGCTTTTGTCTATAAAAAATTATTGACATACATATACATGATATAAATTATAATGAATTAATATAATTATTGCTGCCATACCGAGCCGGTTGTTGCCAGACTAGGATCATGTATGAAAAATTTCCCCTTTTCAGAGCCCGGTGGGAATTCACCGGTCGTGGCATATTTTAATGCTTCAATGATCGTCGTTTTTCCCGTGCCATTCGGTCCCAAAATGAGTGTTAACGGACAGGAAAAACGTATTAAAGAGTCCTCGTTGTCATCACCAAAATTACGAATGCCGCGAAGCGATAGTTTGCGTATCTTCGACATCTTGTCTCATCTGATCAAACAATATAAGATAATCGATCATTAATTGCAACGTACGGATACACAAGTGCGCATTTTTAGCAGTTATCAATTTTATCGAATTCAACGCAATTCAACGAGTTTTGTTGTCAAATAAACTACAAGGTATTAATTACTCGTCTCCGCGATTAAGTATCCAGTGTTTTCTTTATGTCTGTGAAACAATGAACGGAGTGCATAACGTGCCAAATTTACTTATACAGAAAAAGAACGCTATTCGATAAGCCTTTCGAGAGATACCTGATAACATAAACTGGATAAACGCGCCAACACGCATACAGTCATAAGTCACAGTACTGCGTAGAAGAGTAATGTACTAGATTGATTTTTGCGCATGTTCGCTGAATATAGCAGGATAGAGACCTTCTAGTAAAAATTGGCGACTTTTTGCTGATTGGTCAAAAGATTTGAAGAACAAAAATGGCGAAATCAATAAAAAAATTGTTATATTTGGTATTGTGTTATTGTTTATACCGTGTTATTATTTAAAATATTTAATAATAATAAATATTTTATATACTAATAAATATTTATTATAGTATAGTATTTATAATATTAGTAAATGGTAAAAATTATTTATATATTTAAAAGATTTATCTATATTTCTTTTAAGTTTTATGAGATTAAAATTTTTCTTTATAGTAAAAATATTAATAAAAAGAAGACTAAACGAGATATTTAATTTAGTAGAGATTTAGAAATATTGAAATTTAAAATTTCTCGCAAAGAGAGCTAAATACACTTGTTTTTTTATTTAATTAAGTAAACAAATTTCTAAAAAGTACACATTACAGAGATTTTTTAAAAATTTTCATTAAATATAAAGTATATTTACATATATTTACATAAAGTAATTTTACAAATTTAATATATAGTCATAAAGGAATATTTTTATATTTAAATCTTGAAAAAGGGAGATTATATGCATTAACAAATTAATTTAATAAATATAAACATAATTTCTCTTGGAAAATATTAATAATTATTTTGGCGAGTGTCGCATTCAGAAATCCTGTTCTATTTTAGGAAAGTGCAGGCAAAACGAACGGATCCACGCTTAGTTAATCACAATAGATGATTACGTCATTTCCGATCCGGCATTCTCGGCGTATTCAGTTCGATTCAATGTATCTTTCTATTGTTCATGTTCGTCCGAGTCTCGTGGCCCGACCAAAAAGCACAAGGTTCAAATTGTCTTCACAAAATGATAGATTTTCGCAATAATTCTGGGGCAGTCGATGCCGACAATGGAAAATATAACAATACTAATATACCTGGTAAAAATAAAGATATTTAGACTACGTGAATATTTTTAAGGTTACTCCAAACCTTTTTAATTTCATTATAATTACGATTTCTTTTAATTTGTTTATAAATAGCGAAGTTTCCTTGAATATTATCAAATAAATCGAATATCACATAGTTACTCTTCTCTATTTTTTAGAGTTTTATTGTCATGAATAATTATTTGTTTATTCGACTTAAATTCCTGTTAAATCATATTCCTAACCTAACTATTGTATTAGTATGTCGGATGTAATTATAGTCTTCTTTTTAAATATAGATTCGGTAAATATAAATATGTGTTATTTATTAATATCGTATTTAAGGAGACATAGAGATTGCATCTATTTAAGTTGATAAGAAATCAAACTCTGAGTGAAGAAATAGAAATAATTTTTATCGTACAAAAGTATGTGCAAGTCAATTGAATAATGTAATGAATTCAAATAAATTATGAATGGATAATAAATTTATCTAATATATGATAATTATATACTATAAGATACTTTATATTTTACTTTATATTATACTTTACTTTTTATTTTTCAGTCACTTCACAACCAAGTTTAGCTCCACTTAGTCCATTCTTAAATTTTGATCCATCATATCTTCCCGTAAGTCAGCCAGAATTTATATTTCCCGATGGTGCTTTAAAGCAAAGAGGCCGTTTCGAGTTAGCTTTCAGTCAGATTGGAGCTGCTTGTATAGCGGGAGCTGGAATCGGTGGAACATCAGGTTTATATAGAGGCATCAAGGCAACATCTATCGCTGGTGAAACTGGCAAACTTAGGAGAACACAGTATGTCTTTGTGATTTTCATGTTTTTAATTTTTAATACATGAGAAAGTATATATTTCATTTTTTGTTTTCAGATTGATTAATTATGTTATGAAGGGTGGCGCTAGTATGGCAAATTCACTTGGTGTAATAACAATAATGTACACTTGTGCTGGAATAGGCTTAACTTGGCTCAGAGGAACCGATGATAGCTTTAACACAGTTGCTGCAGCTGCTACAAGTGCCACCGTGTTTAGATCTCCTGGTACAAAGCATGATTTATGCTATATATGTTTGTTATGACTCACATTCATTATAATAAAATGATAATATTAAATTTTAGCTGGAGTCAGAAAAGCCGGTATTGCGGGCGCTATTGCGGCGGGAGTTGCAGTGATGTATTGTTTATGGAATAACGGAGGCTTGTCAGTACAGCGTATGAATGGATGGAAACATCCAGCGTAAGAGTGCACATGTTTAGTGAGTGTGTGTGTATATGTTTTAGTAAAAAATTTAGACAAATTATACTTGTCAAATATTTTTACCATACATTTTATTTTTGCTATTTATTGCAACAGTTGTAAATTCAACAACAAGCTATAATTATAGCTTATATATAAAAATTTATATATAAATTACTTTAGATAGAAAGAAAAATAAATTATAAGCAAAAATATAATATATATTTCAAGAAATATTGTACACATGCATAAAAATGTGTATATTATTCAAAATATGATTTAGAATTGTACAAAATAAAGTTTAGTTTACAAAATGTTTTTTTATTAAATTTAAATAATGTGTGCACTGTAAAATTATAATTTTGTAACGAATTTTCATTCATTAAGAGTTTTATTTACTGATATCGATGCCATTGACTAAATTTTAAGATATAAATATGTATATAAATATATATATATATATTTATATTTTTTTTTCTTAAAATTATAATTTTATTTTTATTTAGATCTCAATGTTTAAGAAACTACATATATGTGGGTGCATATACACATATATACACATATATGCAAATATATATACATACACACATACACACGTTACTACCTATTATATATTTATATATATTTATATGTTATATATATATATATATATATATATATATATAATATTAATGTATATTATTGATAATTATTTATTATTTATATTTGTTATGTATTTCAAACAAATTTTTCAATTATTTTTCAATTATTTTTATTTTGAAATTTTTAACAAGTAAATAGAATTTTATAATTGAATTATAAAAGTAGATATTTATTAAATTCAACAAGGATTTTTTCATATATAGGATTAAACTAAACTAACTAAGTTAAAGAATATCGCTTTCAATTGTGTGCAAATTACATATAGTTTATTGTATATTAGTGCCCCATGTATAATTTCTTAAATATTACGATTTAAAATATGTAATAAAGGAATACATTTTATTTCATATATATGCAATAAGATATTATAAAATATAAAAATATAATTTTATTATATTGTTAGATCGAAATTTATGCTAAAATTATTATACATAGTAAAAAAGTACTATTAAATATAATATAAAAATTGATATTATGATATATGAATAATGTAATACAATTTGGAACAATTTAAAAATTTTATTTACTTGTAAAAATTTAAAGAAAAGCATTCTTTTTTATACATAATTTGATCAGATATAGTAAATATAACTTTTGCAAATAAATGTTCAAAGTAATAAATTGAATTTATTTTTTTTCTTTTGTAAATTATTTCTTTTGAGATATGAATCACAATCAATTAATAAATAAATATACAAAATTATGAAATAATACATGATAAAATGAATTACAAGATCAAATTTATTTTTTTGAATATTCTAATATAAATCTTTGTTTCTATTTTTGCAGATTGATATAACAATTTGACATCTATGAAAAATTTTCAATGCGTTCTCGTATGCGTATGCGTTCTTGTATTACCTTGTACATAGAAAATCTCACACCAAATAACGCAAATAAATTATTAAAAAGATGTTAGTATAAGAAAAATGAATTATCGAAACTAGCAATGTATGTACTTTCAAATAAATATACTCGCATGTTGCATATATTTTCAATTTAATATTATATATTTGTTTTCCAATAATATTCAGTCAATTTTAATTTAACATTCTATTTATTTGATAACATATTACCAAGTAACAAAAAATCTTATAAACGTAAATGTTAAATATACTATATAATTCTCATACCCTGTTGCGAGAATACAACTGGAATTTTTTTATGCGCACAGCGACGATCAGAAAGAGACGTATTAATCTTATCAAAGTTTATCTCACTATCAGGTTTCACATACGTTACGGAAATGAGTAGATTTTTCATCGATCAGATCGTTTTTATCCGTGTATGTTTTATCTAGTAATTAAATAAATGCGATCTGTGTAAAAAAATCTATATATATTCGTCAATAAAATACAATTCGAAGAAATTATTCGTGTGCGTGATACTTGCTTCATTGCGAAGAAATAAAGCGTGTTGCATCATATCTCGACAACTGGGAAGAATATGATGTGAGTTTAATCAATAATTGTTAAGTTTAATAGATTTTGTGAAGTGGTTTATGTATGTGAACGATATATTTGGACAGCTAGATATTTTGTATGCAGTGAAGAAAAGTAATGCAATTACAATAATTTTCTTCACTAATGTTTATTTCTCATTTCACATGTAAATTCTTTCTTAATTGAAATAATTATCTATTTCTACAATTTTAAATTATAATATTTAGTTATTTATAATAATTATTTATAATAAACTATTATAAATAACTAAATATTATAATTAATACATATATATATATATATATATATATATATATATTAATTATAATATTTAGTTATTATATATATATATATATATATATATATATATATATACAAATAATTTATAGCAGATGACAAAAATTGCTGTTTTTGTCTTATGCATAGCTTAAAGGAATATACATATATGTATTGTCATTTCATGTATCAAGAGTAAAAGTGTTTTTTATTAGCAATTGTAAATTTTAAGCAGCGTGGGTGAACAAATTCGCAATGATTGAATTATTTAATTAATGAAATAATCTGTGATGACAGAATATTCGTCGTGCGCATGTGTGAGATCCAGATGCGAGAGCATCGGGTTAATATTTGATCTGACTGGATCGTTGTCGTGGGCCGCAAAGAATATTTACAAAAGTGTACGGTTTATTTAAACAAGACACACATGTGTGTATGTAATTCTTACGTACATATCGCGATATTACATGAGGCGCAAAAGGCTAGTGGAAGTCACGAAAATAGTCGCTTCGAATCTTTCGACGATAGCGGATGTCATATATTACATGAGGAACGGTGTTAAAATTGAAAAATGCAGTTAAGTCTTAGAATTAACAATAACAAACTAGGCTCCTTTATATTTAACAAGATTTCCTATATTTCTCTTACAGTTATCTCTTGACAACTTATCTGTTCATCGTCATTAGATGCGTAGCAGTGTTTTGAAAAGGAGGATAAAAATTTGATTTAAATTAATTGACTAATTATAAATAAAAGACTCGAGAATAAAGAAGAGAATTGACGAAAATTTTTTGAAAATTTCTATTTTTTAATCTTTCTCAGGAATTTAATTTAATAACAATGTTTTTAGTTTCGTTTGCGAGAGGATTGCAAAGAAATTCGATAACTGTTGTTTTTTAATATTTTTTTCTTATCTCGAAAAGAAAAAATTCAGATAAAAATTATATTATTTTTTAATTCTATTTGTAAAATCGTGGAAAAAAATTATAGAGGAAATTCTATTTTGCTTTCTTAAGAGAAAAAAGAAAAAAGACAAGAAACTTATTTTTTTATCTTTATCTCTCTCTTTCGTCAATTCTCCAAAAACCCATACTATTTTCAAATTGCACAAATTGCGTATTATTTGCATCGTTCGCATTCCTCGTCTAAATGTCTATATTTGACTGTTTCCTATAAAAAAGTAGGCAATGATAATTAATTTTAATTAGCACCTCTGGGCTTCTCTCTAACTCGCTAATATTAGCTAGATAGAGAACGACGAGTTTTATTATCCCCGGTTGGCGCTAATCAACATGAATGCAACCTTTCATTGTCAGTCAGTCAGGCAATCGGGCATGTTCGATTCTTGCACAGGTGTATATGTAAATTATTTAGATTGTGTCGTAAGTGCTTTTGTATCTTTTACACGCGTGTTCCAGTTATTTATTTACATAACTTGAGTCTGATTAATGACCCGACGAAGTACACTTTCCAAGAGCTTTCGTCATTCATTTATCATAACAATGATTTCGAGAAACTAGGACATAATGAACGTGATAAGTAAGAGTTTTTTTTATTCTTGATTTTATAACTTCGCTAAAATCTTTGCGGCATGTTTCAGTAAATTGCGCTTCTCTTTATATTAGATATTTTTCCTTACTGCAAAATGAAAAGGAAATTTAATGTAATTTAATTTTCAATGCATACACGTAAACAGTTTTGACAGTTTGTACGAGTTTCAACAATGTTGGTTTTAATTCTCGTTTAACTCTACTTAATTGATTCTTTGTTTCTCTTTAGATTTGTAATATTTGTTGTAAAATAGATAGTGACGAACAATTGATTCAATTTAATTATCTTTAATTTGATGTTGAGAATTCGCTGCATAAAAACATTCTCTATGTTAATACATCTTATCCGTGAAATAAAAAACCATCTCGTGAAAAAATAAAAGATTATTATTATAAGAAATATATCACACGCTAATTTAATACATAAAATCAAGATTAATTTGAAGAAAAACTATGAATATATAACCATCTGAACTCTAGAGGAATTCAAATTTTACGTGTACGTGTGTATTGTCTTCAGCTCTGATATATAACGCGGAACTTATGATGAAGACATTGCGCGCGTAGGAAGCGATGGCAATCAACGTTTAATCCACCGAAAATAGATCTGTCGATGGTGCGTTGAACAAGGAAAATAGTAGTTTCAAATATGAAAATATTTGTGTTTTGCAAAACCGCTTCATGCACCGCTTCATGCATGTTTCCACGTCACGAATCTTTGCGCTACGCGTTTCTTGTTTAAAACGCAGTTACAAATTGTCATGATTAGTTCTTATATAATCAATTAAAAATCGAGAATTGATTTAACGTAATTAAACATAGCAATGTTAATTAAAATCGACCTCTCTAAAGTTAGTATTTGGGGAGCTCTTTTAGAAACAAAACCAAAGTGTTAATATAATAATATGTAGGTGTTTATATAATAGTATATATCTCTTAATAATTAAAAAAATTACAATTCCTTCTATTTTTTTTATAATATATAGTTGTCGATTTTAATATTTCTATCTTTTTCTATTTCTTCTTTATCTTATACGAATAATTAATCGTTAATTATTCGAAAATATTTTTTCCTTGTCAAAAATATGTACATATCCCATGCTTTTGAGACCAAAATATGAGTAACGAAGTAAAAGAAAATAATTTAAGAAATATATCCATAAATCTAGAAAAACTGAATTCAAAATCTCATAACAAACTTATTTTTTTAATGTTACAGATAAGCTCGAATTCGTATAGAAGTTAATAGTCTTTGAAATAAAAAGAGAATATTTTCATGGAAATAAGATAAATGTATCGTGTGAAGCTCCTCTGGTGATCCCTCTTCAGGTCGAGTGGATGAACACGTATTGAAAATTTTCTTCTAACTTGAATAAATCGCGAAGCGTAATCATGAAGGCGAGAAAAGCGGAATTATGGCTGACGATGCTGTACACCGGATCCATGATATTCTGTGTCATATCCGTCATATCATTTGTGACCGTTTGGCAGCATTGGACATGGACATTGGGTAGCTGCATCGACATCGATTGCGGTTGCATATTGTACGGCATCAACACGTTCCGCACGTTCCTCGGCGGCGACGTCAAGCTCTGCCACTTCGGCTCTTACGGTCTCACACCCATAATCGTGATCGCCATGTGCCTCAGCGGTTTTCACGGATACAGATGTTGCATCCATAAGAATTTGGATAAGCCTAAGCAAATTAACCGCACACAAACGTATGACGATGACAGGTAATATTTGCGAATCAATTTTTTCAGGCTTCTAATTATGTAGGATTAATTGCAAATGTGTAACTATATAAAAAAGTTTTCAAGCTGTCTTAATGAAAAAATCCAGATAAATAAAATTGTGTTTTAGATTTAAAACACATACATAGATTTCGGGCACTTATTATTTCCTTAGAATCTTTTCACATTTTATATCTTAGATTTCAGAGTAAGATTCTGAAAACTTTTTATTATTATTGTAGCGTCTTTTATCTTTATATAATTTCCAATTATAAGATCATCTCTTAAATTCTTCTAGAAACAATCTTAACGGACAGGTCGTTATGGTCCACGCAAAAAGAAGATCCATTTTTAAGCAATGGATGCCTGTCGCTTTCTTTGCAGTGTGTATCTGTTGCCTGTCTCTCATTCACGCGGTCGTGATAACCGATGGCTATTATAAAAGTTGCGAACAATACAAAAGATATCTCATTCAACTTTTGGGTTCGAGAGGTCGCGAAATTCAAGTAAGACAAGCATTTTACCTCAACTAATTTTACATTTAACAACCAATAGCTCTCTTCAAAATTAGGATGTGATTTTTTCGAGATTAGAAACATCTCTGTATCTATTTTTTTATTATTGCAGGTGATTCACAATAGGCTACCGTGCAGCGCGATTTTCGATTTCATGGATTATCTTCATCCAGATACCAACAACTGGAGACGCGGCAGTGAGATCAATACAGGATTAGCTCTTCAGCTTGCGATATTCACGAGTTGGTTCAATTTCTTCGCTTGGCTCATTGCATGCTTGATAAACTTCATCATGGCGAGGAAAAGGCTGCGCAACTTAGGGGAAAAATTCTGTTGTTGTTGCTGAGTGACATTTCTCGGTAAAGTTAATTGCTAATTTATGAAACGCGCGCGCGCTACAATATATTTTTATAAAATTTAACAAAATTAAAAATTGATTCTTAGAGAAATGCATGAACCAGAACATCGCGTGTATGATTGATAATATTGACATTTTATTTATGCAATTTTATACAGAGACAGAGTGCTTTCAGTAGCTCTTTTCTTATATATCAAAAAATTAAAGACTCACTTCCGCTGCTGTGGAAAATAATAGCATCCCTCTCTCGTATTTGAATATAATTGCCTTCTCTTTATACATTTTTTACAATTTGCATTACTATATTACACATTATGTGTACACATATTGGAACAATATTTTTAATCACCCTAAGAATAAAAAGTTCGCCTTGTTAACTTAACATATAAATCAAACGCGTTCTTTATATATTAACTCTTTTTTTGAAACACGACTTATAATGTTGCTATTATTGTATTATTACAATTAACAAAATATGGAAACGAAAATACTGTAGGCAGTGACGAAATTGGAATCTAAACTAGTAAAGTATCCATAAAACTTTTCGAGACATTTATTTCTCTTGCTATGTGTACATGGAGAAATCTATAAACCAACGATAATAAATAACAGTATATGAAAATTCAAAGAAGGAATGTATCACGTGTGTATCTACATTATATAGCCGTAATAGAGACTTTATACAATCGAATTACATCATCTTAGGATGTTAAAATACTTGGTGTTTCTTAGCACCTAATTCGTATTATTTTATACACAGTGTACATAGAATGACAGAGTATTTTAAGGCTTGGAATAATAAAACGTCTCTCTCGTTGTTTAGTAAATACATTCAAATCGTTCTTCTCGATTTATCAAATTCATCGAATCGATTCATTATAATATTTAATTCTGTTCGCATAAATCATTTTTGGTTTTATGTGTCTGTGTATATGAACGTGCTAGCGGCATAAAGAAATCGCTTTTAATTCCCTATAGATTACACATATCTTTCACCTGGTTATATATAGGAACTAAACTGAAGACAACTTTTCAGATATACACTATTCCTTACATGTATAAATACAATTGACTCTGTTTATTTTATATAATACTAATCAGCTTTTATACTACACAACAGCAAAGACTGCAAGAGCTTGAACGCTACTTAATGAAGGAAGGCACCTAATCATACGAGCTAACATATCTACAAATTATGTTACATTTTTTTATATATGTATATATATGCATGCATGCATGCATGCATAAAAACACGCGTAGATTACAAATATTTCTTTTTTTATAATATTGTCATATCTTTTTACACTGAACTAGATTGTAGATCCTCGATTATGAAAGGCGCAATATATTAGCAGAAAGTTTAATTCGGATAGATTTTTAAAATTACAAAATCTGATGTGTGTTAAATTCACTCGCTAGGGAATAGTTTAACATATGCAGATTCAATGCGAGAAAAGAAATGAGTAACAATAAGTATTTAATCCTATTAGAATATATCGCGTTATCAAGTACCATCAAGTACTAATGTTACTTCTACTGTTCATACGTTTTATTTAACAGTCTCGATCATGAAGTGCACAAGAATCTTAATATTTGTTTTGGACAATTTCTCGCTATGAATCATCAGTGAATTATCAAATTATAAGCAAAAGCGATATAGCCATTTTATAAATCTAAATGTTAATCGAGACTCTTAAATAATAAGTCAGTCTTACACGATAAGGCCAATTCTTTAGGCGAACCTGCTCGCTCTCTTATGACAAATATTACAAAAATTACTTCGATGCTATTATTTGCGCCTTTGTAATCGAATTCTGTAAATTATGCATTATGTTATTTTTTATGGAGAATATTCTGTGTATTGATCTCTTTTTCTTTTTTCTTTAAGAGACTGTAAATATGCAGTAAAAATTTCTTCTCTTCCTTATCGAGAAATTTGCCCAAAGGCTTTACGAATTGCGTTTACAGGAGATATATATGTATATATAGTTTAGATAACTCTCTTAGAAAAATTATTTTGTAAGAACTATAGTATAGATCGTACTAGTAGAAATCTACAAATTTTAAAGTACAAACGTAGTGAAAAGATTTAGCTGCAAAAATAGATGCACGAGTTCTCGTTTTCTCTCTCTTTCTTTTTCTTTCCTCTTCTTTCTCTATCTACCTATTTTTATCATTTTTGGTATCGAGCTGCCAAGTTTCACAACCTGGTTTCACATTAAAATACATTGGAAAGTATCTCTCGCGCTCTTTCTCCCTCTCTTCTTTTTCACAAAGATCATCATTTTATTTTTTATAACATAATGTCTTTTTCTCATGGTTATCTGTTCTGTGTATAAATCTTCTAAAAATGCAAAAAGCAATTAAAAAGTGATAGTATATATGAATTAATACTTTCCGACTTTAGTGTAAATTATCGATTTTATACGATCTACTACATATGTTTATCAGTTAGGCACGTATAAATATATTTGTTCACGTTGTGCGACTTCTGTAAACGTATGCAGCTAATCACGTATGTTGCTATCACATCATATTACAGTTTGTGAAAAAAATACACATCGAGAAATAATATTCATGTTTATACATTTAGAGGCTAACCACGGCCCATTCAGGATCCATCCGCCACTTTTTGCATCGGCACAGTGGAGATATTATTATTATATCTTTAACCTTTATACATTTAGATATTTAAATATTTAGCCTTTAAATGTATACTTTTATATTTCTTAATTTAATTTTGTTTAATTGAAAAATTAAATGTTAAAAAAATAGAAACATTACTTTTCCTTATATAATTACTGTAATATAAGATATAAATATGATAAATAATATGTACATTTTTTGTATTATTATTTATAGTATATAATTGTTTTGTGTTACTATTTGTCCAGGAATCCCAAAATTTCAAGTTAATAGTATTCGAATTAATTATTGATATTCAATAAAATATTCTAATCTTTTATTTAAAAGACTTATTAATTAAATTATTTTACTCTTTGTTTCATATTTTTTCACAAACGCAACATGTTGAAACGAATGAAGTAAAACAGGTATAATTTTGTTCATTTTCTCTTTGATAAATTTTCATGCATTCGAAAGGCAAATTGTTGTAAACGAATTTTTCATATATATATATATATATATATATATATATATATATATATATATATATATGTATGTATGTATGTATGTATATATAAATACAACCTGCATATATAGACTGATTTTTTTCAAGATACAAATTAGAGATTTTACTACATCGTTTTTTTTTACGAGATTATCTTGTTTTAGCTGTGTTTTTGTATTCATGATACACGTAATAAAATATTGATCAATTAAAAAAAATTTTGTAAATATAAGAACGACGTTTATCCGGATAATCTCTCTATGATATCATATCGATCAATTATATCACGCGTTAATCTTTTTTACCTGTTCCAGCGTTTCTGATAAGCGGCTCTATGCCAACTAGCCGAGACCGTTTCATCTCAGGTGAACGGATTGCTCCGCCTCTTTAACGATCCGAATCGCTTTTCTGACGGTTCGCGGATCACCTCAAAGGGCGCGACCTTCGTTCGTCCTGCTTGCCTTTCTTCGTTCTCGTCGCTCGGAAAATCCTCGAAGCTCATATTGCTGAAACCAGCAGTCGCGGCTGTACTCTTCTTGCCTTTGGGCGTTTTCTTGTGGTGGCTCGCCGACTTGGTCTTGTGAGAAACTTTGTGCGTCGTCTGTAGCACATTGACGATGTCACCGTGATTTTCGTCGATCAGATGATATTTGGACTTGTCCGATTTGGATTTCTCCTTCTTGTTATGCTTGGGCGTGTCGTCGTCCATGACGACCAGAGGCTCGGGCGACATAGGTGATATCAGGTCGCACGTAATATCCACCTTGGAGACGCTGTTGACCGCGTGCACGGTGATCCTAGCGGTATGCGTGGTTGGTTGAATCGTATAGGTGGGTGTGGGCGGTGGCTGTGGCTGAGACGGTGGTGTCGGCATCAGATGAATGATGGTATTCTTTGGAGATGGCACGACGCCACTGACGATGGGTAATGCCGATGTAGTGGATAATGTAACATTATCCATGTAGTTGGGCGACTGCGATAGCGATAAAGATGTTGGACGCTGCTGTTGCTCATTGATCTTCAGCGAAGCGAACTCGTCGAACGGGATTGACCCGAAGAGATCCTTGGAAGGTTCCGCTGTAAATTCACCGGAGTTTACTGTCACCTTCCCGTATTTCGATGTAGAAGCGACCGTGCTACTAGAATGACTAGTGTAATAATTATCCGATATTATGTTATTGTGAGATGATTGCAGCTGAGGAAGGCGATTACCATAATCGATGTAAGAAGAGGAAGAGCCTACCGGACTTAAAATCGTCGGCATCGTTGGCATCGTTGGCATCGACGGCTGAGCTGACGCTGATTCGATGTTCGCGACATAATTGGATTGAACATTGTTAAAAGGATTAGTAAATCCACTGGGACTGAACGGCGAGGAGCCAAAGAGATCCTTTTCGGCATTCTCCTGCTCTTCTTCCTCCTCCTCTTCCTCTTCAGCGATGCCGACGTGAGGTTTGTTCTTGACTGGCGACGTTTGAACGTTCGGTTGACGAGGAAAAGATGACGGTTCTTCGTAATAAATAGTCTTGTTATTCGCGATGTTTTTCGAATAATTGCAGGACAAAGTGACGGGCCTCGGTGGCGGAAGTGCCGTCGCTTTACTCTCTATTACATCCGCAAACACCACTTCTGCCGGTAAGGGTGAACTGGAGATCGGCGTCACTAGATTCGAATTACGAGGTGAATTCCTCGCGCTGTTACTCGGATCGACATTTTTGGGCTCGCTCTCGCGACTATCGCTACTCTTTCTAGAGCTGCTGGATCGTGGGAACGGTGCCAAAGCGAATACGTCGTTCTCCACTTTCCAGATGCCGTTTTGAATCAGCGATTTGGACTTGTCGTCGTTGTTGTCATCAGACGAACTGTCACCGTTGTTAAAGAGCAACGGTTTAGACCCGTATTGGTGTCGCACGAAGGGATCCCCATGGGACTGTTCCGGTTTAGATTCAGGATCTAATTCATCGTCCAACAGCAGCGGTTTTTCTCCATATTGATGGCCGACGATCGGATCTGCGTCGATGGTCGGCAGCTGTTGCGCCTGTTGCTGCCGATAGTGATGCTGTCTCCTCGGCCTCTTCATCCTATAATCATCCTCGTGCGTCGCTACGGATTCGCATTCCGCGTGATACGCAGAACTGCCGCATGTGCGCACACTCTCGGAGATGGTCTCGTCGTGCTTGCCGCGTTTATTGCCGTCACCGTCGTCGTTCTCGTCGCCATACTCATTTCCCTCCTCCTCATCGTTCATCGCACGTAGATCGCTGGCCGAGCCGATCGAATCATCCGACTCGTAATCCACGTTTGCCGCATTACTATTGTCCGCGTTCGCATCGTGTTGAGCTGCAACTCTTCTCCTGCTGCGGCTCAACACATTCTTCACCCGTCGTCTCCCTCTCGTCTTCCTCGCTCGTTCCTTGGTGCCTCTCTTCCCATCGCTGTCACTAGACACCTCGTCGGCATTGAACGCTAGCTTCTCATACTTGGAACGATCCTCTGCTGGTGCACGAACAAACGGCGGCGAGACCGGACTGGATTCCGTGATCAACGATGCCTCATCATCCACGCCGCCGCCATGTTCGAGCCCGGAATTATTCCATTGTGTTAGGGGAGGTCTCGTCGATTTTCCTGCAAAACAGAACATTGCAGAACGATTATCGTCCAATTGCGTAAACTGAATTCTTTATATCGATAGTGTTCTCTTTATAGGACTTAAAACTAAATCACCATGAATCTCTTATTACCAAAGCACATATCGTACTTACCTATATTATCTTTTATTTTGTCATATCTCATCAAAAGAAAACTAATTTGCGCGACAATAGTTTTATGTTAATTAATTAACGAAGAATTCTCGAAAATTCTCCTAAAAATTACGTAAAATATCCTAGATATAATCTATAATAATAGAAAATTTGTCGTATAAATTTATGATACATAAATATATGAAATCTACAATATAAATTGCAAATTCTTAAAAAGATTGTCAATAGAGTATTTTGTATATCACATAATTTTGAAATATCACATAAGATATTTTATATACGTCGCTTTTGTTAACTAATAATATTGTAATATTAATGCAAAAAAATATAAACTATTTTTGCATTATAATCAATATAAAAAATTATGTTTATAATAATATTATTATTTCTTAATTTGTAATGTATATCATATGTAGAATTTTTTTTAAATGTAACACTATACATATTTTGCTTTTGATAATGATAATTAAAGTATTAAATATTTTAATTTTATAAATATTTATAGATATAATACTGCCGTAAGATGTATATATATATATATATATTATTGTTCTACAAAAGACCCAGAAGAAACAGGAAATGTCTGATTAGGTCTGCTGCAGGTCTATGTGCTCTCCGAAATACAATGTACATTGATATTTTACAGTTTTACTCTATGTAATGAGCTTTTGGAAAAAGATAATGTTAGATCTTCTCGACATGAAGAAGGTGATACACAATATTCTTTTCTTTAATTTAAGCTAGTGAATTAGTACCGCCACCAATAGGTCTGGAACAGTCCTAATCAGATTCAGGGGGTTGAGGATAAGTGTGCCGAAAAACGCAGTAATGCTCTGAATAAATAGCAACAAAAAGCTTATTCGAAACTATCGCGAAAATATATCTTTCGTCAAATTATACCTAAATCATTTACGAAGGAAACAAAGTATTGCTGCGTTTTACTGTAGCATTTAGAAGAAACAAATACTCCGTATGCTAATTTACATTTTTATTGCTGCAACATTATTTGTCTTAATACAGCCGAGAAAGGTATACTGTCCGAGATAGATTTGTCAGCCCCCTATAGTGCTCTCAAGATTCGCTCAAAATTATTTTTCTCTCATTTTCATATAAGTATCGCTAGAGGCCACAAGAAGAAAAGCATGCTTATACGTTCGACGGTGATGGATAGATAACAAGTTTCTTTTTTACGATACGCCGTAACTTAACTCATCATATAATTCAGAAGAACTCCGAGATGGCACACGTGTGTATTATTATTATTATTAATATTATTATTATTATTATTATTTTTAGAGACACTATGGGAGGCAAACAAAGCAGGACTAGATATAAAAAAAATCATTTTCACAAACATAAACGGTTCAAAACGAAACCTAATATGTCTATATGCCTCCCAAACTCATTAGGTTGTTCCAGACATTGGACAGATAAGTATAATTTTTTGTGATTTTTTTATCTCTCACAGAGAAACAAGCACATTTATCGTTAGTTTTCATTGTCTCCGTCTTTTGTCACATACCCTGAACAATTTATGATACTTACACACTTACGGGAAGAAGAAATAATATTATGGCGGTTCTGTGGTAATACTACTAGTGCTAGTAAAGAAAAGAAATCCTGACTTCGCTTCATTTTACATATTGCACAAAATCAAATCTATGATATATAATATAAAAAAACAAATTTTCAATCTGTATCTTTATCTATCTAAAAATCTAAATTATTATTTCGCTTTCTATATGGAAATTCCATTAAAAGGAATAACAATTATATAACAAGTATGTACAATAGTCAATAATACCTAGTATTCTTTACATTGTAAGATATGTTTTTGATATAAATAATTAACGCATTCATCACAAGTACTTGAGACAAATATGCGAAAGAAACACACACAATACAGAAATCGTGTGATTTTTACATTTTTAAGATAAAATGATATAATTTTTAGCGATTTTCAATTACATTTACTGATACAGAAGATTTTAAGAAGCTAAATTGCATCATTTTATCTTAAGCTTTGTGATATGAGCCAAAGAAATATAAACAGAAAAGTTAGTTGTATCAAAGAAAGAAACCCACAAATTAGTGAGCGTTGTGTAAAAGCAATAAGTGAGATGCTACGAGGAGAGATGAACAAAAATAGAGAGAAAGGAAGAAAAAAACAATTACAGTGCAAGAAGTGAGGATGAAGAGAAGAACGTAAAATAAAAAAAATAATTGCTAAATATTATTTGCCAGTCACTGTAGTATTACCATCGCGCGTCAACAAATACAATCTTGCGAGCTTATACAGTAACCCTTATGCACACATGTCTGTGTATATACATTCACGTGTGTTTACGCATTGCGCAGGGAATTGTTTTGTGGGAAGGAAAGGTCTGCGTATCCCTTATTTCCACTCTTAAAAATAAATCATTGACAGGCTCTCTTACATGCGATTCTTATATTATTACATTAATTGTGTAATCCTGTTGGAAATACTTGAAACCTATTCTTCCCACTTTTTTATGCTATATAATACAATCATTATAACACACATTATATACGTTTGCACGTATGTGTGCATATATGCACTTGAGTAGGACAAAATAGTGTACCGAAACTTTGTGTATATCACATAATATATAACATAATTTTTCACTTTATATATATTTGTTCATTTGTATTTATATGTGTGTAATATTTATATTATGTAATTTTGTTCCTTTCTTTTACCGATACATTAACTATTTAGTATGAAAACACTAAAAATAAAAGTTAATTCTGCACCTTGTGCGCTACATATACTGTAGGAACATCTATTATAAAGTTGAAGACAAAATTTCTTGTTGCATATGCCTTGTCATAATTTCAACAATATTTAATATAATTGCTATAACATAATAATCAATATATATTTCAAGTCTAATATTCGATGTATTAGCCTTATGTTATAACTTCCTATTTGAGGTAAGTGGAAGTTAATATATGCAATTTACTAGCAAAATGTGTTCTATCCATCTCTTTCACGTAATTGAGCGTAACTGAGCATCACAATCATTTTTTCGCAGCTATACTAGAAAATAAAGTTTTAATTATATCTTTATCGAGAGAAAAATTGTTATCAAGTTTTTTTGCATCAGTCATTAACATGTTTATGTAAAAAAAATATTCCATATTTGTGAACATAATCTTAAACATATTTTAATAAACAAAGCTAATTTAGATTAATAAATGTAATATAATACATATAATTAAGAATTACAAATTTACATGAGAACACAAACATCTTTTGTAAATAATATTATGAGAGAGCATATATAAATAAAAAGATAATGTCCCCCAAATCTATTTCGTGTCAAAATTGTTCGTAGATTACATTTCTCTCCACTAACTGTCTGCTCTATTATATTTAATAGATATGATTTATACATATATATATATATATATATATATATATATATATATATATATACATGTGTGTATGTTCAAATTAACAAGCATAATATATTTTTGAAAATTGTCAATTAAACAAAAAGTGTTATTTACTTTTATTTTTTATATAAATAGCAACATTGTAACTTGTGTCATATCTTTGATATCTAAATTTGATTTAAATTTGATAAATGATAGTATAGAGAATCTCACAATCTATTTAGGTAAACATTTAAAAAGGAATTTCTTTCTTTAAATTTAACAAAACATACGATGATATGACCAACATTATTAACTGTATATGATTATGTATTATATCACAAATCAATTTTGCATAATTAATTAAATTGGGAGAGAAAACATCATTATATTTTACATATTATGTTGAAACATTATATTCGTCTTGTCACGTTACTCAATTATATCTCTATATAAAAATTAAGATTTTCTTTTATATACACGAAAGTGCACATAAGCATAACATGCTGATAATATTATCGCTTCAGCATTTTTATTTATCTACATCTATTGTCCACAAATATTGTATGGAAATACATTGTTATTTGTACACAATCCTATTCGATGGTTATTGCAGCAAAATTATTGCAAATTAAAAGAAGAAAGAAAAAGAAATACTTAATAAAGATTATTAAAAAAGATTTAGAAGGAAACCACTTTTCCCAATTTTGAAAAACATTTTTCATATTTCTATTATTAGCCCACTTCTTTATATATATTATTATTACGTTTCAAGAGTGTATGTTTCTTTTGTGCTGAACCTTATAATCTCTATACGAGTCTCCTAATTCTATAAGAGAATATCTTAAAATCTTAACAATAATTTTGTCAATTGCATGAAATTAAACTAAAAAAGCAAATGTTTTACAATGTAAAGTAACAATAAAGTAATAATCAAGTTTAAGCTTGTTTTTATATAAAAAATGTGATGTTCTATAAATTCATATTTGTATAACATCTAATTTTTCTAAGAAAATGTTCATATTTATTCTCTTATATATAAAACTAGGGGTAAAATTTGGTGTTTTTTTTTAAAGATGGTCTCAGTTGTATACCAAGATTACTTCTGGCATTTTATTCCTTATAAAACAATTCAATATTATGAGCTAAATTAAATATACTCAACAATTAATTACATGATTAATTGAATTACAATATTTATATCAGTCTATAAAGCTCCATATATTTATCAATATATAAAAAACGAATATATACTATACTCGATTTATATAAAAAAACTCTATATATATTCAACAATATGTACAAAAAGTAATAATAAGTAAATTTCATCTTTTATCCTTTTTGAAACGAGCAGTTTCTTTTCAAAACTTATCCTTCGATAAGCTAAATTCTCACTGGCGAAGTTCTTTGGTATACATTGCCGAGACTCATCGAAAACGACGAAAGACAATGGTTATAACTACAGCTTCAAATCTCATGTAGCAATTTGGCAAAAGTAAGAAATCAAGTATTAAAACAGCGAGCGAGTGGCTTTTAAATCAAGATATATAGATTAATAGATTAATATAGGAGCAATGGAAGAAAGATGGTGAGGACAATATAAGGATTTTATGCATTACCTCCAGCAATAGCAGCAGTCTTTGATCCAATTTTACTCTTCTTTCCTGCTTAAAGAAAAAATTAAAACGTCAACAAACATGCATTTTAGAATTATAATTCAATTCCATATTTATATTAATTTTGCACCTACTAACTAGGGTCTTAATGAAACTTACTTGGCAAACTAAAGGGTGCAGATTCAAAAGGATCCTCTGGTAATTCTGTATATGTCATAACGAGGCTTTCACGACTTTTTACTCCACTGATACTGGTATTGCTCCCTCTTCTTATTTTATCAAATTCAGCACCGAAAATATGATCTTCTGTTAACTGATTAAAAGGCTGTACATCTTCAAACGGATTCCACGCGGCCACATCCGCGCTCAATGATCGTCCTTCCGATCCCATTAGGCTCGAAAGTTCACCCTGATAAAGGTGCAAGCAAGTTTTTAAGTATTAACTGCTTCAAATGTTTAATATTTTCGAATTTATTTGGAGGTATGTAAGAGTATTATTAATGATAGTGCAGTGCATAAAAAATAATATAAAATTATAAACATATAAAAATTAAATTTTAAATATATGCACAAATAAAATTAAATATTTTTTGTTTATATTTTATACTATATATTTTATATCTCATATTTACGTAATAATTTTGTCCAAAAAATTTTTTGATATTTTTAATGTTCTAGATCACTGCTCCATATCTACAAGAAAAACTTTTTTTTCTCTTGTTACATTTTTTGTATAAAGTAAAATGTAATTTTAGATTATAATAAATAAAGAGAAATCAATATACAAAATAAAACATGATCCAAGCAGAAGTTAGAGTCTCTTAACAAAAATAAAAATAAATTTGTGCGCTTCGTCTACTTACAACACGTACATGCGAGGCACTAGTTGCTATACAAGGCCTTATATCACTCGGAAGTTCGGGAGGTGTAGTCGCGTCATCGGAGCGCGGCTTAACCGAAGCCTCGTATGGCGCTAAGAATTGAGTGGTTTCAGTCGCAAACGCTCTGTGAACATCGAAATGGCCACTGTAATATAAATAAAAATATTTTGACAAAACAAAAAAAGAAAAAGAAAAATTCTGCAAGCATAATTCAAAATTCTTTAAATTCTTTCAATGTTAATTTAAAGAAATTTAAATTTATAATAATTAAATTTCATAATTATTACAAATCTTTATAAAAGCTGTGATATAAAAAATATATATTAGGATAGCAAAAGAAATATGCTTACTTACTTATTAAAAGCACTTGTATCACTGACATTCCTTCTGTGTCGCGAAGACGACAATGTCGGACTATCGGGAGGTGATATGCTCGAGCTTATATTTTGACTTAAGCTTTCTGTTTTATTAACCGGTTTTGGTAAAGCTGGCGGTGTCACCTGCGTCGGTGGAATTGTTTTATTAGGCCCCGTTGAAATAGACAATTTCGACGGTAATGAAGTTACCGGCGGATATTTAGATGACGATGGATAGCTAGGATTCGATAGTTTTGGAAGAATTTTGCCAGGTTTAGGAGCGACGGGAGGTGGAATTTTGGTAGGTGGCGGCATTGCCGTCGTGTCATCTTTGAACGGATCCGGATATCCTGTAAAGATAACAATATATGAACGAAATTATTTAGTCATCTTTATTTTTTACTCTCTATATATACTCTGTATAACTTAAACCCATGTATTGTAAGTTTAAATTACCTGACGATGGAAATAGAGCCTCCAGATTCTTCTCATTGACATTTGTCTTAGTATCGTGTTGTCGTGGTTCAAAATAGAATGCATTCTTATCTTGAACAGTAACAGGTGACTGTTGAGTTAAAGGAGAATGACTGATCATCGGACTCTGAGATGGCTGTCCTTGTGATGGCTGACCGAAGGGAACATTCTGATTGGGAGTGCAGACATGTGGCGATACCTGATACAAGACAAAATAATATATTGGAAATTGCATTTATTGCAAATATACTTGTAAAAAAATCTTAAACGTTCGTATACATTTCACGCGAAACTTAATCGAGAAATATAAATCAAGAAAAAAAAAATGTAATTGAGATAAATTATATTTGTAAAGATCATTTGTTAAAATCTTACTTGAACATAAGAGATAGAATTTCCAGGTGTACTTTGCGTCTGATTTCCTTGACCCGATATTTGTCCTACAATTTGACCGCTCAAACTGATAGGTCCTGTGCTAACAGCTTGTCCTTTCGGTCTCTGTCTCGGCGTCACAGATGTACCCTCGACCGTCGTCGCTATAGGTGCAGGCTTTGGAGTTTTGACAGATGAAGATCTTTTAATATTCTCAGACTCCATGAGCGGACACGGTAATGACTCTATCGTCGGTGTAGGGACTTTCTATAAAGAATAAAAACAAGAATAAAATTATTATAAAATTGAATTCAATATAATTTTATCCATAAATATTGCAGCTCACATACATGCAAATTCTGTACAGGACACTCTTTGCCCTGAATTTGAAAAGCAATTGCAGAAACTTGATAAATGTCAGGACGTAAATCGGGGTCTGGCTCAAGCATGTACCGAATCAAACAATGGAGAGCTTTGCTATATCTGTAATATGAAAATATTTATATATGTAATGTATAAAATATTTACATGTATAATGTGTATATATATACACATACACATGTGTGTGTGTGTGTATGTATGTGTATATATATATGTGTGTATATATATATATGTGTGTGTATATATATATTTTTTTTTTTCTTAATACACACGTGATTAATGTACTATATTATCATTTTGTTTGATTGCTAAAAGGTTAAAAATTAGAAAACTTTTATGTTAATTAAATAATTTTCCACATACTTGGAATTATCCGGTATGGTGAAATTTCCAGATTGTATAGCAAGTGTGCTTTCGCCAAACGGTAGTGTAAAGAAACAAAGTTTATACAGCAGGCATCCTAAAGCCTGAAAGATTAGAATTTGATGTCAAACACTTTAGATTTACATTACGATTAGGCAATACGATAGATAATATAAAGTACCCATATGTCTGCTTTTGTCGTGATAGGTTTTCCACAGTACATATCAACCATTTCGGGTGCTCTGTAACTTAAAGTGGTATATTTTTTTATCTCCTCTTCAACCACTGCGGCGCCGTGAACACCAGGATTAAGAACTTTTCCCGTTGCGGATCCGAAATCACATAGAACATAATGACCGCTATCGGCGAGCAGTATATTTTCCACCTATCGCAAGCCAATTAAATATAATTCAGTACATAGTATTCAGTACATAGTACAGTGATGCGTTACATAACATTCATTAAACAGTTCACCTTGAGATCTCTATGAATTATGGGAGTTTGACAATGATGCAACCGAGATACAGCTTCGCAAACGTCGCAAAAAATTTGTAGAACTTCTGATTCACTGAAACCTGTTTGCAACCTAGAAATAAAAAGATGCTAATGTATGCCATAAATTTTCATATTTTAGATTGCATAATGATTGATTGGATCTGTAATATTATACAATTTTGCATATAAAAACATAACTTTGATATAGATTAGATTAGATGTTACATTATATTAAACATTATTACAGAAAGAAATAAAGTGTAATAAAATCACTCTTTTCTCACCTGTTATTCATCATTTGAAGAACTTGGGATTTACAATAAGGCATTAAAAGCAGAAGTTCATGTACTCCTTTGCCAGTATGAGTTATATTACTATCTACATATCCTATGATATTTTTATGACCACTCAAGTTGCTCTAAAAAATAATTATATTTCATTGAAAACTTTTGTATTCTTGATTAAAATATTATATATTTCTGTATATAAGGAAAATTTATGTTTTATTAACATTTTATTATACATGCAAGTACTCACGGCAATTTGTATCTCTCTTTTGCATACATTGAGATCATGTTCATTGTTGACATACATCCGTTTAAGAGCATATCGTCCACCTGAGGCTTTGACCAAAAATACAATTGCAAATCCTCCTGTAAGATAAGATAATTCTGTTATATAAAACAAGGATATAGAATACAGAAGAAGTGTTTGTTACAATGCAAACTTATTTAATTATGCATAATTTATTTAATCATTAATCATTTACACTCAAATGTGAACCAAAGCATACAAATTGAGATAACAAGTGTATATAAAAACTGACAGCAGGCTCTCATTGTGAAACATGCTGTACATTGTAACTTGATGCAGATACAATTACGACAGATCTACTAATCAGTAAAGCATGGTAATAAGTGGGTTTTAGTATTCGCACATTATCTCTGAAAATGCAACCACTGATTGGACAATCAATTTCTCTGCACCATGCTCTAATATATACGTAAGGCAAAACTCCATGACATCATCTAATACTCTGCAACAATGTGAATAATATTTGAAAAATCTAGAGCGAATTTCGCAATATTAGCTTGCATATAGAAATAATCAATTATATTTCTCAGTGGCAGGGCTGAAACTTTCTCTAAGACTATTTATATAGAAATCTCCCGATTCTTTGCGGCGTAAAACGTACTTCGACATAAAATTCCTAGAGAGGAGCTTAATAATGTTTACCGACTGTCCCTCACCGCTTATCGATATCGCGGATTCCGCGTGCGATCGAAATACCTCAATGATTTCGCACAGGCGGTCCAGAGTGGAAAAAAGCGGGAGCGCGCGGGGCGGGGGGACCGAAATAGAGCGGAGAGTTTCGTTGCGTATCGCGCATTTAGGACCTAAATAATGATCCGGAACGAGCGGAGAAAATGACGCGGATATTAATCAGGCGGTAATCGTGCCGTGTCGTGTCGTATATCGTATATACCTTCCGCCAAGACCTCCTCGACGGTGACCGTGTGGCTGCCCACGACGAACACCTTGCCCAAATAACTGTTAGGCTCCTTCGACGTGTTGTCGATCTTGGAGAATAGCTTCTTCATGTTTGCGCGCTCCGTCCTCGTCGTCGTCGTCGACTTGACATAAGGCCCTCGCGCTCCGCTCCGCTCCGCGATCCCCGCGCGATCTCACTGACACCCCCCCTCCCCCCAGCCCCCGCGAAACGGTTACGATACGATACGGTACGGTGGCACACGGCGATCTGGCGCGGTGCTCTCTTTCTTTTCTCTCCTCCTCTCTCTGTCCGTCTCGCGCGCGACCGAACCTCTTCTTCCACCTCCTCCTCCTCCTCCACCTCCACCTCCTCGTACGGAGAGAGAACTACGCGGTCTCGTTGCAAATTGCGACCTGGTGGCGTGCTCAACTGAAGGAAATCGCCACGATGGCGGTCATGATAACAGTCGACGTATCATACATCACTCCGTCGCTCCGCGGCCGGTCGACATATTCGGCCCGTAAGTCGACTGCGCAACCGCGCCTTCGCAGCGGCGACGTCGGAAACATATGTGCACGACTTCCGGCCGAATGTCAAACTGCCCGTTGATACGCCGGCCACCGTCGCGGCGGCGCCCCGCTGTTCCCGTCACCACCTTCGATCCTTTACCGTTCGGCGTCGCGCACGAAACGAATCGACGCTCTAGCCTTCGTGATCATCCGTATCGAGGCCACGCTTAATTCGACCAATCGGAGCAAGAGAAGCAAGGTTTCCCTTGCCTTTATTGGTCGAATTCCATTAGTGCGATCTCGAATCGTTCGATTGACCAATCGGAAAGGAATCTGTGCCTCTCTCGTCTCGATTGATCAAACGGAGCAGATTCTCACATCATATTATACGCATTTCAGCGTGTTTGTTTTGATGCTTCTCTTTGACGCATGATAAATGCTGAATATTTATGATAGTCTATATTTGTATTTTTTTGGCTGAAAAATTCCTTGAATTTTGGACAATACAGTTTAAAAACCCGTGCGTAAGATGGCGTTTAAATCACCTTGTCGATGAACGTAAACGTATCGGCGAGTCTGATGAGTTATTAGTGCCCTTGACGGCTTAACCATCAATTGGCTCCGCGTTCAAAACACAGTCGGCGTTAAGAAAAAATCATTCGATGTTTCGATAAATTATCAAGTGATTATTAATCACGTGACTATACGTGTGAAGAAATTCCGCGGTTGCACGACAAATTCGTGGAGAAGCAACACGTGCGTGGACTGATCCAGGTTTTATCGATACATGATCGACATCGTTTTTACGATGCGTTCCGTCATTGCTTAGTTTTTCATACAATCACTCCTCGATCGTCTCAAGTTTCTGCAAATCCGCACAATTTCTTCGTTTTGAGAAGCTTAAGATTATGCTATCTCTTCAGTCTCACAATCAGGTTTGTTCCTTTTGATTTCCTACAATTGCATCAGTTTGAGTTAGTGTCTTGTATATGTCTTTATTAGGCTTAAATATAATTTATTGTCCTTGAACAATGTACAAATATATTACATTAAAGATAAATGTATCTTTAGATAAATGTATCTTTACTCTTTATCTGTTTTATCCATGACACATGAAAACTTAACAAGTCGCTAAGCAGTGCATTGCAATTGGAGTACATTTGCTCAGATTTATCATTTTTATAATAAATCAATATGAAGTAACACGATGTTGACCAAATTTTAATTATTTACTTGAAATTTTACTTATTTGTGCAAAATTCTTAATTTTATTTAGTCGCATATATAACTAATTATAGCTAAAAGACTAAGCATTTAATAAGAATAAGAAGGGAAAAGGAGAAAAAATCTGTTTTCATTTGAAGTTAAGAGATATAACGTTGATATCCTAGTGATTAAAGTCTATATTTTTATTTCATTTTTAGGTTTTATACCATTTAACGCAACTAACATTGGCAGTTACTCCTAGGACACCTTTATATTCAGTCCAAGCTAAGAAACAGGATGAATCCCCACAAAAGAATAAAGAGGAGATGGCGATTTGCCAAGACAGTTTTGAGGAGGTATTTTTATAGCATCTATTTTGTTTTGAATATAGTGTCAAAGTATATATTAAAGATGCATGTCATTATAAGTATATATTAATAGCATAATTATATATAAAACTATATAATAGATATTATAAAGATTATTGTTAATATTAAGATTAAGATTAAGATTAATATTAAAGTTACATTTTCCCTTTCATTCGTGTGTACATAAGTGAAAAATTTAACTTGTTTTAGGCGGCAAAAAATTGTATTGACAATGAGTTACTAGAAATGAATTTAAATATTTCAAGTTTATTAACAATGAAGAACAATAAAGTATGCGTAATGTTGGATGATCTAGCTATGAGTATATTTAAAAGATCTCTAGAAGAAAATAATAAATGGAAAGTGTCTTATTTATCTGGCCTAAGTTTTGCCGACAACAAACGGGGCTTCCCATATTCTTCATTGACGGAACCCATTAGTCTACCTGTCATTCATCTAGCATCAAAACAGCATCATAGACTGTTATATACATGGTACACTAAAGCGTTACAAAATCATATGCCAATTCGTACATTCAAGTCTCAGCGCAGTATAAAACTGGAACTTCAACAAAATCCAACATTTATGAATAGAATAAAAAAATGGCTTGGTCTCTCTTCTAATCTTCATGTGGTACTTATATTTTACTCAAATAATCTGATATAGTACCTGATTTATCAAAATGCAAATATAAGAGCATGCAGTAAAATAAACTATCTTATTTTCTAATTGATTTTCTTTTATTATAGAGCTCAGTACATGAACCAAAAAGTTCGGACTTTGAGAAACTAAAACAGATCTTTAACAATACTGATGTAACAGCAGATGAACAAAAGAGAATAAAAATGGCTTTTGTGGAAGGATACGAATCCGGATTGCAACGGCAGATGCGAGGGCGAACAATGTTATTCAAAATTGTGATAAATATGATAGCTGTCTCTATGTTTTTAATTGTCCTCATAATTTGGCTTTATCGTATGTATAAAAATCAATGTTACTTTTATTGTATTCAAAATTTTTCTTTATATTAATTATGTTACTTAAATTATGCAGTTAGTTATCCAGGAGGAGGAATATTCAAGCTTCCTATGAGCCATAGGATTGAAATCGATCCCGAAGACATTCATGTTACTTTCAGTGATGTTAAAGGGGTAAACACAAAAAATTCTTTTGAAAATGTTTACTTCTATAATTATAATAAAATTAATTTAATCCAAAAATCTTCTATAATTAATTTAATTCAATTTTAAACTAATTTATATTAATTTGTGTTTACATTTTTTGAATATTTGTAAAATACAGGTGGATGAGGCGAAGCAGGAACTTCTGAATATAGTGGAATTCTTGAAAAATCCCGACAAATTTTCTGCTCTTGGCGGAAAGTTGCCAAAAGGTGTGCTTTTGGTTGGTCCACCTGGCACAGGAAAAACATTATTAGCGCGCGCAGTCGCTGGAGAAGCTGGTGTACCATTCTTCCATGTGGCAGGTCCTGAATTTGATGAGATCTTGGTTGGTCAGGGTGCTCGGCGCGTTAGAGATTTATTTAGTGAGTAAGAAATGATGAGAATATCAATTCGGTAAAAGAAACATTAATCATCGTTAAATTTTGGTTCCAAGATAATCGAAATCGTGTTAATCTCTTATGTAACTTTGTAGGAGCGGCGAAAGAAAAAGCGCCTTGTGTAGTGTTCATTGACGAGATTGACTCTGTAGGTGCGAAAAGAACAAATTCGGTTCTCCATCCTTACGCAAATCAGACAATTAATCAATTACTTTCCGAAATGGATGGGTGAGTTTATGAATTATTTGAAGTCGAATGTTGTTACATAATACAATTTGTGGAGTTCAGTCTTTTTAAAGAATAGTATACTATCAACGATATGTGTAAAGTATCTCTAAACTCGTAAATTTAATTTAAAGTTATTTAAATTAAAAAATAATTATCTCCTTTTCAAGTTTTCGCCAAAATGAAGGTGTCATAGTTCTTGGTGCTACAAATAGACGCAAGGATCTCGATAAAGCGTTAATGCGTCCGGGCCGTTTTGATGTTGAGATTTATATTAATAAACCTGATTATTTTGGTCGTAAGGAAATATTAGATTTGTACTTATCCAGAATATTAACGCATGAAGTTGATACAGTTTACCTAGCACGCTGTACTACTGGATTCACTGGAGCTGATCTTGAAAACATGGTAAGAGAAATATTATTTCATATTAATATATAGATATGTTATTATTTTAAAGATTTTTTTGTCTATTTTTTATCTAGATTTCTGCAATTTTTTTTTAAATTTTAATCTAAAAATACTCAAAGTAAGACTACTTGTATAGTGTTCATTGACGAGATATACTACTAAATATTATACAGGTAAATCAAGCTGCATTACGTGCAGCGATTGATGAGGCAGATTGCGTTAGTATGAAACATTTGGAGTATGCTAGAGACAAAGTATTGATGGGTCCTGAAGGCAAATTGAAGTTACATGATGAGGAAGTCAATCGTATCACAGCATATCATGAAGCTGGACATGCTCTAGTAGCATTTTACACAAAGGATGCCACACCACTTCACAAAGTTACTATTGTTCCACGAGGACCATCGTTAGGCCATGTATGTAATTAACTGGTTAATTATAATAATTATCTTTATTTTAATTATTTAGTCTGCAAAAATCTTTTTTCAATATTGCCAATAGTGATTAAAATTATATATAATCTTATGTACACAATGAAAGTTTAGATTTTTTATATTAAAATATATTCTCAATTCAGTTTAATTTACAAATTTATATATTTTCAGACTTCTTATATGCATGAAAAAGATGTTTATCATATTACAAAGTCACAATTATTAGCTAATATGGATTCCATGATGGGCGGTAGAGCTGCTGAGGAGTTGATATTTGGACCTGAAAAAGTAACAACTGGAGCTTCTTCTGATTTAGAGGTGTGATTTAGAAATATATATTTCTGATACTTGATTTTGTAATTTTCTGAATTTTATTTTGTATAATGCAGTTTTAATTTAAATATTATTATATAATTTATTACTTATATGATCTACTAATAGTAAATATAATTTTTATATATTTACTAGTTATTTTTAATTTTATTTTTAGATGTTATTGCACATTTTATTTAAATTACTGTATTGTATTAGTAGATGGAAGTTTTTTCTTTATTTTTCAAAAAGAAATTTCTTCTCTTTCAAGGAATATTATAAATTAAACTAAAAACACAGAGATGTAAATTTAAACATTTACATTTTTTTCTTTTTGTAGGAGGCGACAAAGATAGCAGAGTTAATGGTAAAAAATTATGGAATGTCAGAAAAAGTGGGATTTAGATCAATAACAGAAAGTAAAAAGCCTTTCAGTAGTAGTCCTACATATGCGCCAAGCACAAGTGAGATCATTGACAATGAAGTAAAGCGGATTTTACAGGTAAATTTAATATTGCATTAAATACAAAAATTGTATTACAATTAATAATATTTTTAAGTTGTATAAAAAAGATATATGATGCAATCTTTATATGAATTATTTTATTAAATATTAAGAGAGAATTATCAATTATATAATTTTTGTTACTTATAATTTAATTTAATTCGTATTTCTTCTTACAGGAATCATATGAACGTGCAAAATCAATTTTGAAAACGCATGCGAAGGAACATAAACAACTAGCAGAAGCGTTATTACAGTATGAGACATTGGATGTGGACGATGTGGCTGCCATTGCAAATGGTAATTAATTTATAAGAAAATAATTTGCGATGTAATTGAAAATAAAACAGTTTCTATGTAAAAATTTTTGAGAAATATCTCAATAAATTTTATATATTACTATAGTAACTATTTATATATATTGAAATTATATTTAAAAAAATTAAAAATTATATTGTTTTAGAAACAGGACTTAGTAAACGAGAATCATCTGCAGATCCAAAGAGATCGACAAAAGGATCTTAATCTAAGCGCAGTTGTTTGAGAACATTTACTGAGAAGGTAGGAATCAAGCATAATTCTATAAAATTTGCGCGGACATACAATTCGGATAATGATTGTATTTTGTACGAACTTATAATTCATGAGAAATGTAAAATACATTCGAAATATAAACCGTGAGTTTTTTTTTAGATTTCACTTTAAACTACCATTTTCTAAATTAAAATAATGATTATATTTTAAATTAAAATACGAATTAATAAAAATATAAATAACCATATTCAAATATCTATTTAAATATTTAAAATACTTTAAATGTATGTATATACAGCATAAAAATCCTGTTGCTGTTATATTAACAGCACTTATCTTCGTTTGTCTTTTTTGTTATTTAAAATTTTAGAGATGTTATATTTCTCTCCCCTCTAAACCTATATAAAGTTTTATAATTATTCTATACTTAACAAATTATAATAAAAAGAGATTGTCATTATTTATGCATCAATATCTTTATTCTAAATATTTCTTTTTCTTAATGCAATAACCTATTTTCAAACAGGGATGTTTATTGTTGGTTATGAACTTCGACTAATCATTAAATTTCGCAAAGAAATGCTGACAATTCACCTAGAACTTTAAATAGAGATGCGTCGAAAAGATAAAAATTCTGCACTCGTTGGAATTTTTAACGAAAAAAACAGCCGCTAAAAAATGTATTTGATCAGAAGAATTGCGTTTTTTCCGGAAAATTTACCTTTTACTCGTAATTTTTTAATTTTTTTTTTCAAAGATTTATATTCAACTATCTAAAGCAATAATCGAATTTTTTTCTCAAATAAAATGGAAATCGAAAAATTAAAATATCGTCAAATTAATTATTAAATTAATTATTTCGTTTTCCTTTCCTTGCTTGAGAAACAACAGTTAAAGAATTATAAAATAATTATAAACTAATTCGCCCAACGAATATGAAACATAACAAACTTTAATTCACCATTAAATAGATATTATAAGTATAGATTGTATTGAATCATGTATAAACATATAGATATTTATATATAAATATTTATATACATATATCTCAAAATATTTGTATATTATTTCAATCCTTGTTGTCTCTTTAATAACAATTGATGTTCTTCTTCTGTGTAGATAATTTGAATTTATTTATTAATCGAATATTATATATATATATATATATATATATATATATATATATATATATCACACATGTGGAAAAAAGCAATCAGCTATAATTCCAAATTATGATTTGATAGCATTGTTTTCTAGCATTGGTTTTTGCCGAATGTGAATATGTCCTGGAAATGTTTTTTCTAACTATGAATTTTTTTATATCAAATATGCGTGAGATATATTGCTATTTTTGTATAAATATCTCGCTGTAATATTCGATTGGTTCGACGGTTTTAATGAAGTGATTTCTGTAATATTTCATGTTACTTATATTTATTTTACGGACGGTGTAAAGAGCACGGTAATCACGCATCGGGAGTGCAAAATGGAATGCCAAACGATCGTTGCAGTACCTCAATTAAGGTAACGTAATGGTTATGATATATTTGTGTATGTGTATATGTACATGTTTGCTTACTACAGTTGGTTTTACGCACCACGCGGAAATGTATATGTTACAATGTTTACATTATGGCACGTTTCATTGGATTTTTCCGTGTGTAACAACCGTATATATTGGATATCACGAATGAATGAATCAAATTAGAATGACAAGAGATTATATTTACCTTAACGTGCGAACTTTTCCCATAATTGTATTTATAAGATGAACGACATAATCAAGAGAAAGATTGTTTAAGTGACACTTACGCTAGATTGATTTTGTATATACTTGATGTAATGGGATTTACTGATTATTACTGAAATTTATTATATTAAAATCACTTTTAAAACAATGCATCGATTAAATTAATATTCGCAGACAACATTGCCTTTTTTCGCGATGCTAATTAGTTATCTCATGCTGCGCTGAGCATTACTTCATATCAATAAAGCCTGTCGTGACTGAGCGTCGCAATTGACAGTTCAAATATTTTATGTGTATAAATTTAATTCAATTGAATATGAAATATATAAATAATACATAAATAATTATATATATATATATATATATAATTATTTATATATTATTTATATATTATTTATAGTTCTCCGTATTTTCAAAATTAATTGAATTAAAATTTTACTATGCACTTAATATTTGAATTGTCAAATGCGTTGCTCAGCCATGACAGGCTTTTATTGATATGCAGTAATGCACCGGAATAATGCACAGCGCAGCATTGAGATAACCAATCAGCATCGCTTTCCGATTCATCGGAAAAGAGACAACAATACTTGCGAATATCGATTTAACATGCCTTTTTTAAGAATGTAAAAAAAGAAACTTACAATCTTTAAATATTGCAGAGAAGGACGTTCTCTACAATTTTTTTCTGTTGCAATAATTTTCTTTTTTTATTAAGGAAATATTTTTCCCGTTGTTTTTTATTTGTCGCCAAAAATTCGATCAGTTCCGTCACCGAGAGTTTCTTCCGACAATCACATCGAAGCGTTGTTTTTGATTCGACGCGTCGCGATTCGCGTGGAAAAAGCGCACGATTTACTCATTTCCAAAGCTCGCGGTTGAGGCTTTAGTATCGCAATTATATCGGGCGTGGGCCCCGGAGATTGAGTCCGGGCTCATAACTCTCGTCGGTCGTAACGTTCAGCTGCAGGCCGTTCGTTTGGCCGTGCCTGCATTTCATAGGCCGCCAGATGTTACGCGTCTACATATCAGCGCGGCCCACCACTTCACGTACGCTGTACGTACGTATTCATTACTAAATTACAAGCAATACGAGAGGCGAACGATACGACGCGACGCGGCTGTGCGGAACAGGGGCTGGTGCGTTTCAACCGCGAATCGCCGATGGCATACGTAAAACAACGGCAAGCAATGTCGGCGAGCACTGTTTGTTCGCTCATAGCGAAAATATTTATAGTCGTAATTCTGCGTATTATGTAAGACCGTTTCCTATTCCTCCTACTTTTTAATGCTTTTCATTAAATGAATTAACGACATAATAAATAAGGATAAATTGAAGGGGGCGCATATATATGACTACGCATGATGCATGTATATATGTATATAGGTTGACAAGATAATAAATTGTCAATAAATTGACCTAAAATAATCTACAAAAGCTTCCAAATCCTTCATTGATTTAATTTTTACGATGAATTCATTACATATGAATTTTACATTGAATTATATATATATTTTTTTCCAATTATCTCTATATTTACAATTTTTAATTATAATATAAGGAGAGATCCATGGAAAAATGCTACAGTTAAATTTCTTCTTTATGAAAAAAATATACATTAAATAGATACATTTTATATTTTTAATATAAAATGTATCTATTTAATGTATATTTTTTTCTTTTTTCTTTTTTTAGACTTATTTCAAATTAAAATTTTGTATTTAATAAACAGTAATCGACTGTCTAAGAATTATTATTTTGGAGGCAAGCGAAACGATCAATCGAATACTTAAATTAATTTTAGTTTATCTCGTTTGAGATTACCGTCCTCTCACTTGTTTCTCGAAAATTACCCGCACACACCTCTCCATGCCTAAAACAATTTCTAAACAATCCAAATTAATTCGAGCGGACGCGCGATGATCGCGTTTTCTGCTCGCGGATAAATCGCGGAGGAAGAGGCTTGAAGCATGAACTTGTAGTGAGCAGATACAAGTGCGGGAACGGGGAAGGGTAGTTTCTAGGGGGTTACATTGTCTGGGGAAGGCGAACACTATTTGCCGGCAAAGTAGATTAGGTCGGTATTGATAGAGACAGAGCGGCGGAAAGAGAGAGGAAGTAATAGACCGATAAGGGTTGAAGGAGGTTGGACGGCGGAGGGGAAAAGTAGAGGTATAGAGGATGGATGAAGGTGGGTTCTCTGAGACGGCCAATATAGGATGGGATATAGCAATAGAGTTTCGCTTACGAGGTATAACCGCGTTAGACGGTGCCCTTTGTTGTATCAGTGCGCTGAGGCGCAATTGCCTTAAGTTCTGATCTCACGAGATGTCGGGATGCTGGATGGCGGTCCAGCAAGAGATGGATAGGTTGATTTTTTCCCTCGAGTTTTACTTACATTCGATCCGAATGAGGCCCTCAGAACAATATTCGATTCGATATAATTTCACTTTTCATCTCTTTAATCGCTTGTTATATAATTCGCTTTGTTATATAAATCGATTTGTTATATAATTCGCTAATAAATTTAGTATACTCCTATATTCAATAGAATTTACAGGACGTTCTTTAATTATATCTTTTTATTCATCTGTCATTATTTGGCCAATCTAGAGTTTCTCTTTTTCGGAAATTTTTGTATAAAATATCAATAAAATATCTTTTAAAAAATGTCAATTTTAAAATATTTCAAACAGACATAGATGATTATTTAAATATATGCTACGATTAATTAAATTTTAACTGTTGTGTTTGAAATAACTGCTATTCTAAATAAAAAATTGCTTTTATTTCATTTAGTTTTTCACGAATTTTTCCGCTATAATTTTTTTATGTTCGAATTTTCAGATATATTTCTATCGTATATGTACAATGAGAAAAGAATTGTTAATTTGGTTACATTTGGTTATTATTTTAGTTGAAATATTTAAATATTTAAGTCAAATACACTTAAATATTTTAACTAAAGAAATGATAACCAACTAAATGTAGTCAAGTTAACGAATTTTTTTTTCTAAGAATATAAGTCAATCGATTTCATTTATTCACTTATTGACAACTATTTGACCTATTATCCAGATATATTCGTATTATGTTTTCAGTGACCAAGAACTGTCATATTATTTTTTGATAGAATTTAAAAGAGCGTTTTGAGTATAAAATTGTATCTATGAATTTTTTGCCAAATCTAATCATCGCCAGATTTTCCCCGCATATCGTTTTATTGCATGCTAAAAAAAGTCGCAACCTATACATGTAAACTCGACATTTTTTTTTGTGATTACACATATTACACATTTCCTTTGTATACGTTGTGCCTTATTTTATTTTTTTCCATTTTTTATCGTACTTATAGAACGGTACATGCCGTCACGTTTGGTGGGTTAATCAGAATTT